CAACTCTACAACATCCTGTCAACACTTTGTGCACTTACAAGGGGTTAATCATTAAATGGAAGGGTAATTCAAGCAGAAATCAAAAAGCCAGGATTTTTGGATTTCTATCCCCCACTTTGCAAACTATTTACTCAATGGCAATATGTAAATACAGTCTCACTGTGAAGCTGCATGCATCTAGAAAAATCAAGATCTATTATGCTTTACAACACTTAAGTGGTAACTGCAAGTTTAATGTTCAGACATCCAAATAAATTTTTCAGATGAAAGACAATAACCCATTGATTTAAAATACTTCCAGAACAAAACATAGAACTGACTGATGAATATCAGTTGTTCACTGATCACAATTGTTTACAATTAAGTTTCTATATTTTGCCAGTCTTCTTTCATTTCTAGCACCAAAATTACTTCAGTATTTCCATTTACCAAGTATTTCCTAAGCACTCCAGGAATTAAGCAGATCTGTTTTTTATGGACAAATGCATTAGTATTAAAGACTGGACTACTAAGACTACTTCCTAATTTCACTTAGATCATAGGAGAAAATCCCAACCAACAAACAAAACAACACACATAGTAGCAACATATTTCCTTCATTAACAAAGGAAAAAATATTCATATATACAGTTGAAGAAGAGATATTAAAAATGTCTTATGTAAGCCACTTCTCAGGAGTCTATGTTTTACTAATTCTACAAATATGGCAATCCTTGTTTTACAAAAATCTGGGCCTCAGAGAATTCTAAGGATCAAATTTAATGCATATGTAGCTGGGATTTACAAGTGCGTCATTTTGTAATTTCTCTTTGAAGATGAGTCTTACCCATCTTAAGTTGCCAAGTTTCGTATATTTCACATCTTGTGAACTCAGTTTGGTTGGTAAAAAAAAAGGAATGAAGTAATGCTCTGTGCACTCAAAAGGATTAAAATTTGGCATGACTAAAGTGAACAGCAGCTAACAATCTTCTAAAGCATTTCACACTGGAAAGTTCATCTGACCTTATAAAAATGAACTTGGATGCAAAATCCATTGCTATGAGGCCCATAGGGAAGTACTGCAAAACTAGAACCCTTCAACATATAATAGCATAGCTCCCTGAAATTTTTTTAAAAATCTGACATGCATGAATGCTTTGCATAAATAATAATATATTAATAATATAATAATATATTGCTGAAGACAAGTAGTAACACAGCTCCAGAAATGATCAACATCAGTACAAGATAAATGTACAAAGAAGTCACACCTTAATTGATCTCTACTCCTTTCAATTGCTAAGTCTCACAATTCTCATAGCATCAGCAACCATTTTACGACATTTAAACTGCCTTAATTTTCAGAAAATTTTCTCCAAACTATGATGTACAATTCTTCACATCTGCCAACTACACATGAACCAAAAGGCACCTCAAATCAAGTTAAAACAAAAATCACATTGGTTTCTAGAGTTCAGAATTACTTAGGTGACAACAGGAGAGAAAGAATTAGTTTTGAAATCTATGCCCTGCACATCCTCTGATATATTTGCCATAAAAAAGTCATGGTCAGGATGCCAGCCGTTCACTAAACGTAATATAAAACAGGGCTAACAACTCTCAAAAAGCATGTGGTCCAGAAAATAGCAGAAGGAATAGTAATGCTCCACTCAGCGCTAGACATGATAATGTGTACCATGTAAACGACAGCTGCTTGGAAACTGGAGCATAACCCTATATGGAGGAAGGCAAAAAAAAAAAGAACAAAAAACCACACCTAAAAAGACAGTAATTCAAGTGCTAGAACATAAGCAATCCTCTTGCAACTCGTAGAGAACTGCTGCTGGTCATCAGACACATCACAGCTGAAGCCACAGCTCTACAAATGCTACGCAAGCATGTCCTATTTTTAAGAAAAAGGCAAGAAGCTTAAAAAAAACCCAACAAAATACCACCAAAGAAACATTAGGAAAAAAATTACAAAATATCCATAACTGTTGGTTTCTTCAACAGCAAAGTTTAAGACAATTACAGAATGACAGAACAAGGAGTTGGAAGGGACTCACAAGGATCACTGAAGTCCAGCTCCTGGCCCTGCACAGGACATCCCCAAGTCACACCACAGTGCCTGAGAGCACTGTCCAAATGCTTCTTGAACTCTGTCAGGCTGGTGCTGTGACCACTTCCCCAACGAGCCTGTTCAGTGTCCAACCATCCTCTGGGTGAGAAACCTTTTCCTGATAACCAGCCTAAACCTACCCTGACTCAGCTTCAGGCCATTCCCTTGGGTCCTGCCACTGGTAACCACTGAGCAGAGATCAGTGCCTGCCCCTCCTCTTCCTCTCACAAGGAAGTCGCAGACTACAATGGGGTCTTCCTGCATTCAGGCTGAACAGACCAAGTGACCTCAGCTGCTCCACATATTGCTTCTTCTCAAGGCCCTTCACCATCTTTGTTGCCCTCCTTTGGGCACTTCATAATAGATTAATATTTTTCTCATATTGTGGTGCCCAAATCTGCACACAGGACTCACTTAAGGACATTTGATATTGCAGATAAGCAGCATTTTACTTCAGGAGAATCTCAACTAATGTTTTTCAGCACTTTAAATCCAAATAGCGGGAAGAAAAATGCAAAGAGTAAGAGATCAGAAAGTACTTTCTGACAGGTAAGTTTTTGAAAACCAAAACTGGAAAATGTAAATGCTGAACACCCAAAAGGAAATGCTGACATCATATTGACAACTTCTTACAGCACATTTTTAGCTGCTGATTATGATTTTTAAAAAAAGTCAAGAAAGCCATTATTTCTGTCAATAAATGAGTCATTATTTTTAAGAATTTATAGTCACTGTACTAGCTATGAAAACCCATCAACCATACAAGTCTCCTGATTGTCTAGCTTCTAACTATGCTTTAGCGATGTTCCATGCAATTTTTTAAAAAAATCCTTTTTGGTTAAAATAATCTTAAACCCCCTCCTACTTCCTCAAAGAAAAAAAGCTGTATGTACTCCAAAGAACTTACCTAAAACAACTTTAAGCATATCCAAAGAGAAGGCATTTTGCATAAAATAACTTCTTAATACCATGTTTTGTGGAGCAAATGTCTTTGAAATAGAAAGTAATTAGTATTTTCACCACAGGAGACAACATATACCATAAATGCACCTTGATTTCCTCCTTGAGATCCACTACATTGCTCGACAGTGAGCAATATGCAAAAAATCGTAATTAAGCTTATTACAAAAATGCAACACTACAAATGTTTAGCAGTCTGATGACAAGACTTTAATTTCAAGATTATTTACTATATTTATATAATGAATCAGTAGGATTACATTCAATTGTAAATACATTTGAACCACGGATCTTTATGAAGTTCTTCCATAGCATTATTGTAGTTGTGTAACAGTTATATAGTCTGAAGTATATAATAAATACTCAGATGAGACTATCATATACCACACAACACTCTTATAAAGCTTTCAACGGAACGAGCTGACATTTTAACCCTACATTTTGAAAGAAAGAAATCAGGATGCATTTAAGATAATCTTTTTGACCACTGGGTGCCACTCTTGTTCTGCGTACAATAAGCTGCCTGACACTAACTTAGTCTTCTCAGCCTTTTTAGTTTTTTCCTCAGCATTAAACAGCTCTGATTCTTCTAAATTGAGAGGAAAAGATGGAAAAGCTTTTACACAAGTTTTTATTAAGCACTCCTTTTCAAAATCCTTTATTACTGCATCTAGCCCCAAGGCAATTCTGAAAGAAGTCTACTGCACACAGACCTTATGATATATGAAGAACTCCCTTTATGGTGAGGTTATAGAATAACCCATCCATGTTATGTCTAAATCATCCCATTCAATAGAATAGATATCTGCTGCAACTGTGTGGCCCTATATGGATATTACTAATAACAGCTTCATATTGAGTTTGCACCACCGTAAGACTGTCAGGTTTGCCCTGTCTGAGCTTTTTCTGAGCTGCTTACAATCTTTTTTTTTAACTTGCTGCTAATTTAACAGCAATTTTTCCAACTGGCCAGGCATCTATAGCTAATTTGGTTTATTTCTGTTGATCTTTGTATGGCACAACCACAGTTTTAAATGCATAGCGGTAACAAGAAGTTATTCTATGATACTATGACTAACACCACGATGCAGTATCTACAGATACAGGCCTGGTATAATAGACATTTTAAGAAGTGGAAATGCAGGATGTGACATATAAAAGCACAACCATCAAATGACATTCTTAGATCAGACTGCTAATATTGCACCTATAGTAACAATCAATTCTTGTCTAAATATTTATGGTGACTTCCATCCTTGTCCATAAATTTTTGTGTGTAACACTATCCTGTGCACTTTATTTGCTAACTCAAATAATCCATATCAAACATCATTGCAGGTGTATATATATTACAGCCCTATGATTTACTACTAGTCCTTAAATTTCATAAATGGGAACCTGAAGTACAGACCAAAAAGGATTCATAGAAATTAATGTAACATATGATGTAAATATATATTAATCAGTTCATCTGAGACAATAGGGAGCTCAGAAGTCTGTGGTGAACTTCATAATCCCATTATCTATCCCACCAACCTTTAAAATGGCACAGGCATCATTATAGTGTAGCCCCAATGTACTGCAGCCACAGAATCAGATAATACACCAAAGAATTCTCTTAAATCATGTAAGAAGAGTGACTGATCATTAGTGTGACTAATGCATTAAATTACTTACACTTGCAGGTTACCATCCTAAAGATGTTAGCATTATGCCTCCTATCCTTACTAAAAAAATACTAAAATAGAGACTTTCATGTAATATAATTTCTTTTTTTCTCTTTCAATACAACTAAGACCTATTTCTCCACTATTGTCATTTATTTAATAGATGTCTTCTCCCTGTTATTTCACTGGTCTGCTCTACAAGTTGTTTTGATGACCAAGTAAAATGCCCTAAATATTCACAGCTTATGCATGGCACTACTAGAATCAAAAAATACCTGTATTCAGATCTTGTAGGATGATCATCCCTTGCCCATCTGTATCCTGATTCATCCTGCAAAACATACATGCAAAACGACTGCATGACATGTATCTCAGTGTCAGATGTCAAGTACAGTTAGTCGCCAAATCGTATTTAATTACTGCAAAACCAAAGCATTTAATGAGCTAAAAAAATATTAACCCCCACAGCAAGTATCTTCTCAATTTATTCCCTGTATCCCTTTACTTTTTATTTTCTTCCTCTGTCAGTATTAAAGAGAGCAACTTTGCAATGCCATACAAAACAAAAAAACTACAGAAGTTTCCAAAGTATATATATGTACTCTGACTTAAAGAAGAATTTCCTCTTCAAAATACAAATTACCGTCAACACCTTGAAATTACAGAATTCTAAACAGCTGGGCTGCAGGGGGCAACAATAATGACCTTTCCAGTATTTTAATTACCTAGCATTCAAGCCTTAATGGGAAAATAAACATCATAAACATGTGAGAATAATCACCTTACGTACACCTCGGTGTGGAGGGCCGCTTCTTCGGGCATGGGAAAAACTACGACCCTCCTCATAGTCTCTGTACTCAGCGTGACCGTAATCGTCATAGCGACTGTAATTCCCGTCCCCAGGTCTCTCAAGCAGTGGTGGTTTCTTGGGCACAATGTTTACTATTCTATGGTAATCACCCTAAACCACAAAACAGACAAAATCATATTGCTTTTAACAGCTGAAAATCTGTAATGAATAAACAACAGCTTTTTGCTAGAACACAAAATTAATTTATTTCCTTCAAATAACATGTCATACACCATTTTGTCAACTAAAGAAATTCTTTGTTTATTAAGTACAAATTGCACAGCTGCAAAAGACACAAATTCAGTTTTACTAGAACTAAGCTTTATATAAGTCAACTGTAAATAAAAAGCAAATGAAAATAGGAATGCAAGATTTTGTATTTTATATCTTCCTCTTGGAAAACATTTTTAATAGGCCTTAAAAACTACAAATGCAGACTGGCATTAGTATGTGCAGTTTGGCAGGGTGGGGAGGGGAAAAACACTCAAGTTATGTTTTTAACAGTAAGAACTCATGATCTAATGCACTACTTTCTGCAGAAAAATACACTGCATTCACAAACTGCTAAATATTGTCATGCAAAAAAACCTGTTAGTTCTGATTTCAGAAACCACCCAACAAACACACTGGAGGGCAATCCAAAGCCAGACTACAGCCAGACTGGTGCAAAGTGGAGACTACGTACACAGTCACACTGCTTGATCTACTCTTACCTCATTGAACATCCTCCACATGTAATTATTTATTTTTTTTTTAGTTTGGTGTCTTACAAAGATGTCCTGTGCAGTATCAATAAAACTGCTCCATGCTTTAACCTCACCCAGAAATCCCCACCACATAACTATACAGACACACAGAAGAACAGTTGCATGAAAGCTTGACAAGTATCCTACTTGCATAATTGTGTCAAGTGCTTGCAATTTTATGTTCTTTACCAGTATCTTGCTTTCTACTACAATCTATACTTGATATACAATTAGGACCCAGCTTAGATGAGGACACATCTTTTGCTGTCTTAAAAAAAAAAAACTTAATTCTGTATCATTGGCACATCCCATTTCCAACATACTAACCTATCAGCAAACAATAAACATATTAACAGATTGAACAAATTAATTCCATTTCACTTGTCTAATCAAAATTAAGTCAGCCTTCTACATGTGGACACAAATACAATGGCACAGGCTTACAAGGACAGAAAGGACCTTCCAATTATCTTGACTTTGTGGAGTTGTATGAGAAGGAACTCCATATCCATCTTTCAGGATGGCAGAGAGACACTGTATCTTGGTTTGCCCAGCTATTGGGGGTGTTGTTTTGGTACAGATGGATAATACTAATTGTGATGAGTGTACTCTGCTACTCCCAGTTCCAAACACACGTAATATAAAGCTAGCATTGAACCATCTAGTTAACTCTTGCATCAAAATGAGTGCATACATCATTTAGACTGTACACTTTCATAATGCCTAATCACACGCTGTTTCCTGGACAGCCTGAAAGACTACAGGAATTTAGAAATGTCAATGACACAATGGTTAAATTAAATTGGCAACATGTTAGTCAAACGACTTAAAAAAAATTTGTGAAAATACATTCTGGCTTTCCTCTTGTCCTGTCTTGATAAATATTTTGGAGAAGGAGGTAGCCAAACACCCTGTGAAAAATCAATCTGATTTCCAGCTTGCTGAAAATGCAGAAATGTTGCCGTTGCCTTTAAAGAGAGTTAAAAATGTCACAGAGCAGCCAAACACTAATAAACTACTCAATAGAGAAGCCTATGTAACTAGTTACCAAGTTACTACCATTGGTAAGCTTCCAAAGAGACAAGATCAAAACGCAACTGAGGGAATCCAAAGATACACTAAATCAGACACACTATTATTTCAACATTTACTGTAAGTGAAAGAGAAGTCAGATAAGAGGCTCTGGTACGTGAAATTTCATTTTGCCAAAATCACATTACACGGGATGTAAATAGAAATATCAAAATATATTCTTAAAATTCTATTTACGGTGTAATACCTCCAAAGACAAAGCTACAACCTGTTTTATTTCTTTGTTAGAGACTTCAGACAAGGGAAGAAAAAAAATTACCCAACTCTGTGGAAAGGAGAATTCCTAAAAACAGTCTGAAGTTACTCTATAGCAAAGCAAGCAGAGCTTCGGCATTTGCTTTTACAAGCATAACATACATACATGACACAACACAGAAGACTCTGTACCTACAAAATAGATTTCTGTTGACACTCTTCTTGTAAAGTGTTTCCCTTACAGGACTCAAAAGCACAACTTTAGCAAAGATGTACTTTCAACACTTGTTAAAAACATCTTCTCCTATACTTTAACCTTCATAAAAAAATTGTGCTGGTGACAAGAACAATCATGAAAGAAGTTCCTTTACCACCTCAAGTTACTTAAAAGAAACATTAACATAAAACTATGGAAAAATATAACATAGTATGGCCTTTTGTTCCCCAGAAGTCATTAAAAATCCTGTGTTTAATTACACTAAAAAATCAGTTTACCGAAATAAAAATATTCTAAAACAGTTCTAAAAGATTTGAAAATTAAAGAAAAAGAAACCAAGACCTAATTCTCTAGGCAGCCTATTATATCTGTGTAGATGCATATGCTAGATTGCTGACTTGAAAGAATGGGGAGAAAAAAGGAACTTGGGGTATACTAGGAACTTGCTCAGGTACACAAATCCAGCCCCTATGGTACAGGTTATTGTATAAAGGTATAATGTTATAATGTTACAGATACAAGGCTTACTACACACTTACATCACCATGAATCCTTGGAGGGAGACGTTCTCTTGGAACTCTTTCATAGTCATATCGCCCTTCAGACCACATTTCATCTCTTCGATATGCCACTAAAGACAACAAAAACACCATTAGTGAAAACCAGACTCATTATGAATGGACAAAAGGAGAGTGTGCAGAAAAATAAAGGTTCCAGGATTTCTCCCAATATAATGTATTATGCACAAGCCCTGTACATACACTTTTTGTTATTAGCCCTTTAAAATAAGTCTTTCTAGTTATGGAAAGTATGTAATGTACCTGGAGCAAAAATCACTCACAGCATGGGCAAGAACATGGAATTGGAAATTAGTTCAGCATGATCAGTAAAATTACAGGACTTAGAGATATTATAAACAGCTCTATTGAAATATATGCATATTGCAAATACTTGATGTACATACAAGTGCCTTACAGCAATTTTAATACTGTTCTGCTAAAAATACTGGAACTTTAGAAGAAGTAATTCAATGTCTATTTATTAGATTAAATAATTTCTACTTTTTAATAACATATAATAACTTCAAATTATTTCATCAATTCAACCATCTAGAAAGAGATCTAAATGCAGCCCATTATTTCTTAGTACAAAGCCCCACATTTTGATTATATGGATACAATACATTCTTCACATGCAGATACTTCCTCTTTTAAATTGGGAGCCAGCACAAAGAAGAAATACCTCTTTCCAGAGGAAAGTGACTTTCAAAGCTGAGTTAGTCATTAAAGACAGGTGGAAAAAACCATCACCCTAAGAGATTCTAGTCATGCTGTGCTAGACGATAGACTTGAGGAGTTCAAACCTTTCTGTTGATTATAAAGGTGACAAATCATCTACTATACAACATTGAAAATAGGTATGCAACTGCCAAAATTATGTTTTTCAAACCTTCCCCTCAAATAGTAACTCTATCTGTTAAAGACAGTCAATATGGAAAAGTAACAGCAGGCCATATACAGAAGGAGAAAGATGTAATGTTACCTACTTGCACAAAGGAAAAACACCCTACTGGATATAGACTTATGAAGCTATATAAAATTATTTATTAATACAGATGTTAAGAATCAACATAATGAAAGGGTTTACTAATTGTAAACAGAGGTAGAACTAATTCTGATATACACTTTTGCAAAACATAACAAACACTCATGTACTTACTTTTCTGTCACTTTTAGCAACTCTCCTTCTGAAGTTCCATTCACTTATCTACAAAAAAAACCCTGAGGTTATTAAAAAATACAAATATATTTATCATTAGTACATTTTTTTTCTGTTAAGTAAACCAGACAAGTAAAATCTACATGTTTTAACTGCCTGTACCCTATGATCTGTCTTTGTAAAGAAAGTAAGACTCAGTTGCACTTGATAAAAGGTTAATGAAAAGCTTTAACAATTTAACAAAGGCTTGTCTTTTGGAAATAGAGAGTGAATCCTGATAAAGAAGCTCTTTCGTCCATCCACTACAGGATACATCTGTGTTCAGAGACTTAGACTTCAAATTAACCACATTATCTTCTTAAAATATAGTCCCATTTTATAACAGACTTGACCTTGTGAGAAATGAACCTGTAAAAATTCGTAGAAATCTAAATAAATGTATATAACAATAATGATATAAAATATAAAGTACAGTATGGCCCACAAGCCCTTCCCAGATCTAGTCGCGAATTCCCACTCAAAGGATAACGATCCTAGCCGGCGCCCATCAACGAAAAAGAATAGACAGGACAAGGATCATCAAGCTGACAGAGACAGGCTCGGTGCCCATCAACGGAAAAGAATAGACAGGACATGAATCATCAAGCTAACAAGGAGAGGCTCCGACGAGATACTCATCACCGGACCTGAACACCCCGCCTTGCAGGCCACCGTTGGGGGAAGCCATCAGGTAGACAAAAGGAAAAAGTCCAGCCGAGATATCCATCAGCTCCAACCCGGATCCAACCATCCCATCCAGATGGCCTGAACCACAATGAAATCAAGAAACACCCAGAACTTCTTTACATATGAGGAGACTCTGTCCGGACGTCCATTTGACTCTATTCTCCAACGCCAGGAAATCAATTCATACAACAATCA